CCCACACATTTCGACTTTGACCTCCACAGTCGAAACATTTCGACTTTTGGGTATTCATTTCGACTTCATGTATAGTAGTAGTAGTAATAGTAGTATAGATAGATAGAAATCGGTAGATTTCATAATAAATACTGAATAAATCAGTTGAATTTCAAATATGTTTAAATTTATATAAATTGTATCAATCGGGATATTTCATATTAATAAAAATTCTTTTTATTAGAATTAATCGGGATTACTTATTGGTATAAAATATTATTACGATTATTAAATAAATTTAATAAAATGTTACCAATCGGGATACGCTATTTGTATAATAATAAAAAACTCCCCCAATAAGAATATCACTATTGATGACTTAGGGATAACCCGATTGGAAACTGGAAGTTAATAAATTGATATAAATAAGAATAACCCTATTGATATCTTTATAACACCCTGATTGTAACCTTATTGTATTCTATTTGCGCTATTAATCATCATCAATCAGGATCACCTGATTCTAAAAAAACAAAAAAATAGGGGACCAATTAGGTCAAATCTGACAACCCAGATTTGACCTGATTGGTTCCCTATTTGTCATTGTTCGACTAGTGTATATCTATAACAATTGACTCTGATGCTGACCATCCCATTATAGCTATAAACAGATAAGCACTAAGAAATTATTTTGATAGAATACTAGCCGGTCAAGCAAGATGGTGGAACTCTACTGATCTAACTAATCCAGAGCAGTGATCATTAGCTTAAAAGATTTTTTTTTTGCATCTAGATATGTCCTGTGTAAGAAAAAAATATAAATTAGCTAACCTGTTCTAAGCATTGGTACTGGCTGGCAATAGATAAATTTTTGACAAATATTTCATGCAATTATTGAGAAGAGACCTTCAGAAATAATGGTAGTCCCTCTCTAGTATACCAAATTTTCTTTACTCTTATTTCGTAATATTTCTCTAATATCACACTTGGAACATCTTTTAAGAAGTCATGGTATTCCTCAAACTTTCGAAGATATTCTCTTACAGTTTTATCAGCCTCTTCTGCCATTTCTTGATTAGTGTAACCAATAATATTGAGTTCTTCCTGAATTGCTATTATATCCTCTACTAAATACATAAGCAAATTAAATATCTGTAAAAGCTTCATTGCTTTGATATTCCACTTCTAGAATAGGATTACCATCAATGTTGAGATTCTCCTGTATCAGTATTAAATCCTCTACCAATTTTAACAACAGCTCATATGAATTAACAAGTGTTTTCTGCCTTTTTACTCCAATGATTGCCATTTGATTTGCATTATCACTAATACCGAGTTTTTCCTGAATAGCTATAATATCCTTCTTATATAATAGTACTTCATATAATTGATTAAGCGTTTTGAGATTATTTGCTATGATTGCTATAATAAATCAAGATATATTTAATACGAAAAATTTTGAGTCCAGAATACAGATCATCATCACGGAGTGGTAATCACCAGCTCAGAAGAATTTGCTGATCTATGCACAGCGTCCGTCTCTTTTCGAATGAATGGATAAAAAGGAATTTAAAATTTTTTTCAATAAGCAGAGGTTGGATTGATCCCAAAATTTCTGATATTAATAATTATTTTGCCGATTGTGGTATAGATGTGATGCTAGTTAGAGAGCTAGGATCAAAATATTTATCAAAATAATATGTATCATATGTTATGTCTCAAACTATGTATTTATTTTTTACATATATTAACAAAAAAATTTCAGTGGGTCCGTTGTCCAAAAACATGTGATATATTTTTATTTTAAATTCTCATATACAGTGTATTAGTTATAGATCATATTAACTGAGCAAGAATTATTGAAGCAACGCAATGATGAGCTTGAGGCCGAGAATGTTAAGACTAAGGCTGAGAAAGCTGATATTGAGGATATGTATATTGAGCTTCTAGAAGCGATTAGGGAAGAATATACCAAGCGAGATGCTGAAAAAGCTGAGTTTAAGGCCAGAATTGAGGAGCTAGAAAAAAATAGGACAGATACTGTTACCGAGAACGCTGAATTTAGAGCAAGAATTATGAAATTGGAACAAGATATAGATGAACTTAAAAAAGAATTAGGATTAAAGAAAAATCATAAATTTCAGGAGAAATGTATTCTAATTGCTCAAGTATTGCTTGGAGAGAAACCCATAGTTGAATCTTTTATGAGGGGATTAGAATTTGATGCTTTCTTATGATATCATCGAATGGCATTAAAAGTGCAAGGGGCACAACATCGGCTTTATAATACTAGCTGATATAAAGATGTCAAAAAACTCGAAGATATTGTTGATCGTGATCGGAAAAGAAGAAACTTCTGTCAGCTTAATGGAATTTATCTTCTTGAAGTATGGTATGACGAGAATCCAGAAATCACGATTCCTCAGAAGATATATAAATTTAAAGAGTGTATTGATCGAAAACCTTTAATCTTAATTAATCTTTACGTGGCTTATACAACGACTTAACATCATGTGGATAGTACCAATTGCATGTGGCCTATATGATAAAATCATGTTTTCAAAAAGGCGATGAGTAGGGGAAGTATTTGCTAAATCGATCACCTGAAATTTCGATAATTATAATTTTGCATCACCTCAGCCGTGGGATTCATCATGTCCTATCTGCGATGGAAAACATGGGAATTATGGATTATATGGCTCATGGTACCGCAAAAATGGGAATCAGCTCCCTTATGATCCTGAATTAGAAAAGTTGTATTCCCAAGATGAGTTGGAATATTGTCTTACCTGCAACACTTCAAGCGATAAATTCAAATTCGCGATCGTAGCCACGTGATGGCATTGTTGTATAGTAAAAGATATTATTCCGCAGTATGAACAAAAATATGTATTTTTTTATTTACAATCAATAAAGCCAAGGCATATTAAACGCAATATATTTATATGTCAATATCTAGTATGTGTTAAGAAGTATGGGATTGTGTTTGTATGCTAATATTTCTCAATCATCCGGATAAAATTTCGATAAATACACAGTATCATCATCATGTATTACGGGAACAAGTTATTGTACCATATAATTTATTCTCGAAGTTTCCCGCATATACTCAAGCTTTTACATGTATTGATCCCCTTGTTGATCCAGGGACACGATCCCAGTGTCTATTATAATTTTAAGGAGTATTCGTTGATCTGATTTTCATGATGAATCATAATATCGTAATTCCCCAAAGATTTATTCCAAAAATCGATCCTTAGGAATCATATAAAAGGTGAGGCCTTGGTTAGTGAATCCTTTTATCCGCCTTGTGCAAGTAAAGCAAAAACAATCCAACAAAATATATCTAATCAGGCTTACCATTATTTCATCATCACGCGCACAATAGGCGCAGTGAAATTACTCACATGAATCTCGTCTCATGCAAAGGCACAGCAAAAGTTTTGCGCAGTATATCAAAAATAATGTTTGGCGCAGTATCGTACCGGAGATAAAAAAATTTCTTAAAAGTCAAGACGGATTGAATATTCTGAAAATGAGACGTAACAGTAAGTGTGAATCGGTAAAATTACATTACTTTTTTTTTACATCAGTTGCTAATTTCCCGATTTATGCTGTAGATTCGAAATTATTCAATCGCATGAAAGTTCTCTTGCGGAACTTGGCTAAAATCGAAAATTATATAATCTGTGTTGGTATGGGTGATTTATATTGGCGGGGATCTTGTAAATATAATTTATTTCGTATTTGTAGAAAATGTAATCTCGTAGTTAAATATAGTGATAGAAAAAAATTGGCTATAGTTCTTGTCCAAAAATGTGAGAAGGCAAAGAAATAACTTGATGCTGGGACTCGCATAAAATTGCCTAGGATCCGCGTACTCCCTCCCCTCCCTCTTTGATAGCATCATACATTTCATCCGCTTCTCTATGTATCTGAAATATCATAATAAAGTTTCGTCCATTTACATTAAATTTTTTCTTTGCAAAAAACAATAACGATCAGGATCATGTGATTTTGAATGATCTGCATTCTTATTAAAATTTTGATATGTGGCTTAGAATATCACATAACTGATGATTCGTCATAGCTTTTTTTCAACCAAATAACAATGGCCGACAAATTACATGAATATTTTAAACGCAATTCTTCTGAATGGTGTATTACAGGTTTTCTTAACGAATGTAAGATAGAGCCTTTTGAGCGTAAGATAAACCAGTACCTAAGATGTCTTGATAAAATTGTTGACGAGAAAGACAAGAGGAAGGAAAGAGCAAAGGTATTACTTAGAGCATACAGAGAGGCAAGTAATCTGTGTAAAAAATATAGGTGAAAAAAATAGTGGCGTGATAGAGGATAACCCACACGGTTCTCTGTCATTCAAGGCCATTCGCCGATTCAAAGGCCATTCGCCGAGCCACAAAACCAATGCTGGAGCACAGGTGACCCACTCGGTTGTCTGATGTTAAAAGGCCACTCGCCGAGCTGGCATTGGACCACTAGGGTACAGGTGACCCACTCGGTTGTCTGATGTTCTGGTGGAAAATCGGAAATAGATGGAACCGGAGGTGTTAGCGAAGGATGTTATTAATTTTCAAATCTTCGTGTTAGGATCCTCAAACAGATCGAAAAAAAGCGAGAAAGTGGGAAAAGGAACGTTTGCGCAAGCAGGTGATAGTGAACCAGCCGAAAATTACGGACATCAACGGAAATATGATTGGAAATATGGGGACGATAACTGGTGGATCGTTAGTTGTTGGATCAAAAAGAGAAGTGGAAGAGGTACAGTGAACATTTTTTTTTATCTAGAAGTCGTGAGAGTTAGCAGAAATAACTAATGTTCTAACTGCCAATTCAATTTATTTGATGTTATCTCTTGTATTCCTGTAGGATTTGAATAACAAGATCGACAACTTCTTTCAAAGTCCTTCCGTACGACAATCATCCAATTTGTTTGGGGAAGTAGAACAAGACATTTCCAACGAAACAGACAACGAGAAGGACGAGGTATGGTATTCACATAAAATGAATCGTTTGGTCATCACTATTCATAAAGATAAATTCAGAAACATTCATTATCTCTCTTTCACTCTTTGTAGATTATTTATCGGACAGAAAAACATAGGCGAGATGAGTCTCCTTATTGCCTTAATTGTGACGCAAAGGTAAATGTGATAAACACATTAAACTTTGTTATTGCAACGGATAAACAATATTCACTTTTTTTTGTTCTTTAGATTAATATCTCTATCTTTAGATTTTGTCCATTCTGCGGAACTAATATTGTATCGTCTGAAGATGAACCATCACTTGATTATGATGATGCGGGTGAGGAAAATGATACAAGTGATAGGGACGAAGAAGATGATACTCCCCCAAAAGTCGATAAGGTTGCCTATCGCTTGGCTTATGATGCTATCCCAGACACTTCGAAGTTGCGGTTGAGCACAGGCAAAATAGTGGAGGATGTTCTCTTCGAATTTGCCAAGGAGATGGACTATGAACAGTAAGTTTCTTGAAATTTATATCTTTTCGTTCATGACACTAACATACTATTATTATAAGTCATGCCCATTCATACATTGTTGACTTTGACGATGAGGATATCAAAGCGTTATTTGACGAGGAGGAGTGGAAAGAATTAACAAAAGATCCAATAGGGATTCCACCAGTTCCACATGAGATTGCAAAAGAGCTAACGAAGTACGGAAAAAATACTTTAAAGGAGTTACGTGCCGTAGTAATGGCGCCATACCTTAAAGAGAAGGAAGAATATGATGTTAACAAACATTACGAACAAGAATGGATCCAAATGGCCTTGCGAACACTTTGCAACCTGTATGAAAATGTGGTTGCTCCATTAATTAGGAGCCAATATGAAGATTGGTTCACGGTCGCGCTTTTTGGAACGTGCATTGATTTCTGTATTAGGGACATCCAACTAGGCACCGACATTAAAAGGTTTTAATCATATTCGATAGTAAATTATCATAAACTTTGCTTTTTTTTTTAATATAATTTATTTATCACTGCTCATAGAACCGATGCGCCATCACTGAGTAGTGCAAACAGGAAGAACCGATGTCGAAAAGCAAATACACGTACAAGAAAGCTCACCGGTCGCAAAATTGACGGGATAATATATACCGTTGACAAACTTTTTGAAGTTGGAGCCATCGAAGGAGCAAGATCCTATTCAGGTGCTTCAGACCAGAAGTATCTTCTCGAGACATTCAAGATGCCGAAGACTCTTCGCGACATGTATGCTGATCTAATGAGGGCCGTAGATTATGATGATAAGAAAGCAAATAAAATTCAAGTAATTGGCATTTTACATCTTGGGTTATGGATTCAATTTGCTAGGTTATGGCGTGCTGGTGGGTCGATTTGCATTTTTCGCAAGGATCCTCTATCTCATAATGTAGATAGCAAGTTTTCAGAAATGGGAGTAAGATCCTTTCTCAAGCTCCTAGTATCAATTTATCAGCATAAGGTCAGAAAAAATTTTTTATTCTTTTGGTTATTGTTCCATTTCACTTCAGCTTCCTATTCATTGTGTTTCGTTTTCACAGATTATCATAAAGGACAACCTGCAAGTCCTGAACATTCGGAGCAGTATTAAGTCAGGAGATGACTTGTTTAATGAATTGATGGAAGTTGGCCAATTTTCTTCACCAACACGTTCGATTAAATTTTTTTCTGATTGTTTCAAGACCCCAAGGAAACCAAGGAAAAAAAATCCGGTAAAAAAGAGAAAGTTGAAATAGAGTTTTAATACTAATTCTATTGATACATCATTGTAATTCTTCTCCGAATTCATTTGGTGGGTTAATTATTGAACCACTAAATTAGATGGCAAGGATTAGATTATATTTTATATATTTGTATTTTTACAAATTTTATGATGAAGTTAATGACTTTATGACAAAAATTAATGTTTTCATGTTTCCGAGTATTAGCCAGCTCTTAATATAAAATAAAATTTAAATTTACGCTTACTGTATTACAAATTGTAATGCACATGTAAGACAACTGTGAAGTTTAGCATTTTTTTATAGGGGAAAAAAATCCAATATTGCTTTGTAAATGGCGTGCATCAGACAAATATAAATCGTATTATTACAAATCATAATCCCAAAATATTAAATCCCATAAATATTTCCCAGTATCTGACTATCTTGAATCCCCATATACCGGCACATTAAGCAGTGAAAAGTGCCAGGAAAAATCACATGACTGATCGTTCCCTGAGGGAACGGTTTTTTATAATCTAAAATTTAGACTGGTCAGAACTATATGGAGAACTAACCTATCACCTTTGAATGTTGGGAGGCTATCATAAATAAAATCCACCCCTCCGGGTTTCATCTTAAATCTAACGCCATGAGTTATGTCATTTATGACGGTTCTTTTTTAGCTATACAGAATCTGATTGGCCGATCATCTCGTGATTTATAGAACTCGGAACACTCCTAGGAACTGGTTAACCGTCCACGGTGATCAGGTCTAATTTAACCGAATCAATCTGTTTTCACCCAAACATTCGAATAAAAATGAATCTGATATTTATTAGAGTATAATATTACTAAATCAGCTAAAATCGCTAAAAACACTATAAATCAATAAAATCATTATATTCTGTTATAATCTAGCAAAACGCTAATATGAATTTAGATAGTAGAATCTATTCTAAGCTACATCTAGTAAGCTATGGAGATATAAACTTTGAAATATAGTTGATGCAATATGGCCTTTATCACATATGCGTGATCATAAAACACCAGAAATGTGGTGTTCTTGTATTCATAGCCTATTTAGGAAAATACTTGAAGAGAATTCAGAAATCCTTTCTAAAAATTGGTATATTTCAATGTGCAGAAAGTTATATGAAAGTGATAAAGTCCATGCTCATCCAACCAATTATATATATTGCAGTGTATGTGACTCCTTAGTTTTCATTCCTAATACTTCTTTTAGTGCTTGTATCTATCAAGATAACCACTTGAAGAGATGCATTTCTGAAAATAGTATTTCAAATGAACATGCAAGAAGAAAAGAAATTCTCAAATCTATTGATAGAAGAGAATTTGAAATTTGGTAATACAAACAACACATATTAAAAGAAGAGGCTAAAATTAATTATCTTTGTCTAGAGCTTTTCTTCCAATCTACCTCACACTCAGAAAAGGATAAATTGGCATTGATATCATATGATTATGAGACTTATACAATTCTCTATAAAGCTTATGCATAAGCAAAAGCGTTATGGCAAAAAATACTATGCCAAGTGCTCCAAATTTTGAGCCAGCTTGTATTTTACCATCAGGTAAGAAGTGATTTTACCAACTTCTTATCAATCATCGAATTGCAATAGTGATACAAGTAAAACATTTATCTTGTTTCTGTATGTAAAACAGCCAAAAGGCACTGTGTTGAGATTGAGGGATAGAATACTAATCACGATTATTTAACTGACTTAACTGATTTTGAGTAATATTCTACATTACTTTCTTAACATATAACTTAATAATAATTCATATTTTATTGGATTATATATTAAATTTTTTTTCACTTTTCTTCATCACAATATATGTAGGAAAACAGTATACGACATAATTAAAACATGTTTCTGATCCTTGTTAAAACGTATATAATATAATAGTAATACACTGCAAATCATCTGTACGAGTGCAACTATTATTTGTGTGATAAATTAATTTCACACATAAGCAATCAATCCCTAAAATATTTTTAATTTTTTTCTTGTAACATTTAGCCAAATAATTTTTAGCAAAATAGCATTTACTAATATTTATATTTGCTTTAGAAAGATAGGTAATTTCTACCCTCCATCGATCATAGACCTACAGGAGATATCTATACAAATAATAGCATATCCAACTAGACGAAAAAATCATATATGCATTACTCCCAATGTCTTTCTAAATGTCAAAATTTTCAATGCACATTTCACATGCCCCTATTCTCTAATACAAATGTTTGGCATAGAGTGCCTTGCATATTTCTCCTATCTCTTCTCTTCAACATGAATACAAGCTCAGAAAAACGTAAATGGAGTCATTTAAAAGGGTAATATATGATTTTTTTTTTAGCAAAATTATACATTTTTATCATTATGTCTTCTCCTATGTTATATGAAAATATTTATAATTTTTTACTTGATTCACCCTCAGATCATATTACTATACTTTCTGTTATTTTTCAACTAATAGAAGATGATACGTGGTATCCAAAAAATAAGTTAAGAGAAGTAATTCATCAGGCAATTATAGTAGTAAAAAAGAATTGCAATCAGTCTTCAGAAAAATATCTCAAACTCGTTAATATTCCCTTGAAGGTTAGTGATTATTACTATTATTTATCAGATTTATAATCCTAAATGATGATTGCATAGAATGATATTATAATATCAAATTAAGGAAGTATCCATAGCCATGTAGGTACAGATTTAATCAGATGCATTATTTCCTTAGACACCCAGGGTGGATTTTAGTTCTGGTTTATGAAGAAAAAAAATATAGCATTCATATGCATTGTTAATTGTATGCAGATCACATATAGTTAATAATTACATGAAATATACTAACAGGTGTGTGTACACGAATCTAATATCAAAAGTTTAACTATATTAGTACTAATATAAGGCTTCTGCACTAATTTGATGATGCATATGAAGGTGTAAGTAGCTTCGGAATATCAAAGAATCAAAACAGGAAGAATCACTTACTAAGAATGAAATCGAGATAAATTTGCGTGTGTTAAAAACCAATTATAAAAATAGCAAGGCTCTATATGCCTACCACTTCCATAAATATTTAAAGAAGAAAAGTGCTTCAAACTTATCATGACACGTTCCACTTGCTAGTCAAGTGATTAGTGTAGATTCAGAAATGGTGAGAACTTTAGAAGTAGAAACATATAACTTTTTTATAGTAAGTAATTTAGCAAATAGTGTTTTTGTATTGCCATAGTTCACTTTCAGTAAAGAGTATTATATTAATATTATAATCCCTTAGGATCCAGCAAAGCGTATGAAAGTAACTGCTCCAGACCTTGTCAAAGATAATTGTGATTCCTTCATTTTGAATTTCATAGATAGTATTACAGATGTTTCAAATAATAGATTTTTACATGATAAAAGTTGGAAAGAATCTAATAAAAAACTAGCAAAAGTTACGTTAGGTATACTCAATATCTTGTGAGTATTTTAGTAATAAAAGACTTAACGTAATCATATTTGGCATTTCTTAAAATTTTTCATTTAACACTATTTTTTATTAGAGAGATATTTGGAAAAATCCTGCTTTCAGTCCAAAGCTGATTAAGTCACAAAGTGAAGAGACATATAGTCTCTAGCGAAAAGAATGGCGGAAACGAATTTTTATGGTATGTATTAACTTTATTTTTATTGTAATTTTTTTTATTTATTTACAAGACAATCACTAACGGCTAC